GCTTCCAATGCAATCAAAGTTATGATTTTATCCAATCTTGCAACTGAGGCAAAAATCTCTTTGAACCCAATACCAGGTTACTGTGAATTGCCTTTGGCAACAAGTCTTACCTTGTTTTTATGTACCTACTCATCTAGATTAAGTTTGGCGTTGCACACCTCTTTACACAAATGATAGGCTTGTCACTTGGTCTATTAACTGATTCTCATGTTGAATTTTAATTTTTTTAATATCCAAGTGGGCACATATTGACACATGGCTTCCAATCATCGTCCCACGTGGGCACCACGTCATAGGTTAACGACTGTTTTAACAGACAACTTAACAAATGTATGAAAGTGTCATAGAATTATGACTTACCATACTGGGATGAAAAAAATTTGATGTATGAATTGTTGAAAATAAAGAAACTTCAGGGTAGCAAGCTGAAACTAACCCCTTTTTGTTTATCTTTTTTCATTTTTTTAACCTTTTTTTTTTTTTGTTTTTATTACTTTTCTAGACTGGCTATGCAAAATAACACAAGACCATAAAAGCAACAACAAGTGGAAAATCAGTTTATGCACTGATTCAATGCGTCATAGCAGATGTGGTGGTTTCGAATAGTGAGATGGATTGAGATGCTGGTGAGGTAAGGGATGTGGGTAGTCAGTTTTGTTCTTGGATTGTGAAAGATTAGGGTTTCAAGCTACCTATTAAAACAACTGTTAACCTATGATGAATTAATAATATTTTAATTTTTTTATTAATATGCGCACTAATAAGTTTTTTTGTGTGTGTTTAACAGAAAAGAGCGAAGGCCAACGCGATAAATATGTCGAAGAAGAAACTTATTCACCACTCCGGCTCACGACCCTTCTCCTATAAGATGGAGGAGCGACTTCAGGTAAACATATATTTATTTTAAATTTTAATACATTTTAATCTTTATTACACAACTAATAACTCATTTGTTAATAATTTTTATTTTAGGTAGGGTCGAAGTTTCCTGAGATTGACATTTTCAAGGAGTTATATGTGCAGCCCAGTGATAAGCTGACGGAGCAACTCCATGTAAGTTTTTGTAATTCGTAGATTTATAATTAGTTTTAAAATTAATCATATTTTATATAAGTATTAATTAGCATGTTTTTATTATTATAGATTACTATGGTGTAGAAGAGCCAGATTGTTTTGTAAGAGACAGCTTTATAGCTTTCATGGACACCCCGATAGATGACGTCGTTCCAACCTAGGATGCGGGTCATCATATTATGAAGAAGACCTTCGATCAGAGCCTCGGTTGTAAGCCAGGGAAGGTGTACTGGGGCATGGGGAATGCCCTCTTCCAACATTAGCGCGAGATGGGTCGCAATGTTGACGATGCAAGTTGCAAGCCTAGAGCAGTAGCTAGAGGTCTATACTACCCACATTAAGGCCTATGATGCTCACTTTACGACCTGGGAGACTAGGATGACCTAGATCATACACGCTCTTCAGTTGTCTGACTTCCAGTTCCCAGAGCTTGCACCTCCTCCTCATACACCTTCGACCTCTCAGCCCCTTAATCCAGCACATACATAGCCGATCGACGGAGTTAACTTGCATAATTTTGATTTGTAGTTTTTATACTTTTTTTCGAATTTTTAAAATTTCCCCCCGTTGTATGTACTTTTTCTTATTTATTTGAAATAAATATCATCTTGAAACCACTGACGATAATGGTTTTGAATTTCTTTGTATCACTTCATACGAATATGGCTAAAAGCATATTCATGAGAAGCTGGAACGTCTGCCGAGTGGGTTGTACATCACAACCATTTGCGGCATAGAAGCCCACAATGTGGCCAGCCCTATGCCTTAGTTCTAGGACACTTTGTTGCTTTGGCATGACCATTTGGGACATCCTGGACGTGACATGATGCGCCGTATCCTCAAATCTTCACACGGGCATAAGTTACGTCCCTATGTTAGACTCCCGCCATGTAAAATGTGCTCTTTAGGGAAGTTGAATACTCAACCCTCCTACACAACGATTATTCACGACCCCCCTAAATTTCTTCAGAGGATTCAAAGGGACATTTGTGGACCTATCCAACCAACCTGCGGACCATTTAGGTACTTTATGGTGTTGGTTCATGCATCAACAAGATGGTCACATGTTTGCTTATTGTTCACAAGCAACACCGCGTTTGCTAAACTCTTAGCTCAAATCATTAAGCTAAGGGCTCACCACCCTGATTATCCGATTAAGTCGACTTGACTGGATAACGTTGGAGAGTTTACGTCACAAACTTTTGACGATTATTGCATGTCAGTAGGGATTGATGTGGAACATCTTGTACCCCATGTTCACACCCAAAATGGCCTGGCATAAGCTTTCATAAAGCACCTTCAATTGATAGCTCAAACTTTGGTTATGAGAACTAAACTACCGGTATTTGTCTAGGGCTATGCAATATTGCACGCAGCTATGTTGGTCATCCTAAGGCCCACCGCTACTCAACCACATTTACAGGTGTTTGGGTGCATCATTTTTGTGCTAATAGTGCCGCCGCTACGTACTAAAATGGGAATCTATGTCGGTTATGATTTGCCATCAATTGTTCGCTACTTAGAACCCTTGACAGGAGATCTCTTTACCGAACGTTTTACGGATTGTCACTTTGATGAGACAATCTTCCTGTCGTTAAGGAAAGATAAGCATGCTAACGTTCTCGTAGAATGTCGTGAATTGTCGTGATATGCTTTCACTATGTCTCATTTAGATCCCTGCACTGCCCAGTCTGAAATTGAGGTGCGACGAATTATAGATCTTAAGAGCATTGCTCAAAGCATGTCAGATGCTTTTAATGATCTAGCAAAGGTGACAAGATCACATATACCCACTGCAAACGCACTTGCAAGGATAAATGTACCTAACGTACATCCACAACCCGCCTGGGAAGGCCGGACCGTCATCTGCTCAGACCCTGAAGTGTGGCAGACCCCTTGGTTCAAAGGATTCACAACCTCAGAAGAGGAAGATGGCACTAACTAGTGACCCTAGTTTGAATCCAACCATCGTTCACTCATCCGTTCCAACGCATGAGGTTATTCTAGATTACGGTGATGTTTCAGACGAAACATGCGGCCTCCCGAGAATCGTGAGATTTCGGTCCATTACGCAGTATTGGATGAGGTTTGGAATACGAATGAGATGATCGTTGACGATGCATTCGCTTACTCAGTAGCTATTGACATCATGCTTAGCGATGACATTGAACCACGTTCTGTTGATGAATGCTGACGTAGAACTGATTGGTCAAACTAGAAACAAGCAATTAAGGTTGAACTCGATTCGCTCGCAAAACGTATGGTGTTTGGACCTATCGTTCATACACCACCACGAGTGAAGCTCGTTGGCTACAAGTGGGTTTTTGTGATGAAGCGTAATGAGAAGGATGAAATAGCGCGATACAAGCACGCCTCGCAGCGCAAGGCTTCTCTTAGCGCCCTGGGATTGATTACGAGGAGACGTATTCCCCCGTAATGGACGTTATAACGTTCCGCTACCTAATCAGTTTGGTAGTTTTCAAAAACCGAATATGCAGTTTATGGACGTGGTAACTGCGTATCTCTATGGGGATCTAGATACGGAAATTTACATGAAAGTTCCAGAATGACTTCCATTTACTGGTTCAAATAGTTCTAGACCACGGAACACTCTCTCAATTAGGTTGAGGAGGTTACTCTACGGATTGAAACAATCCGGGCGAATGTGGAGTCAAGTTAGTTTAGAATTTGTCCAAATCACTCTTTAGTAGTTGTTTTGAGTCAATTTGGTCAGTTTTGAGTCATAAGAGTCTAGTTTTCTGTTTTTTGAGTCTAGTTTAGTGTTTTAAAGTTTAAATTGAGTAGATTAGCATCCCTTCTGATCCCCGGCCTTAAATGATCCCTACTTACATATACTACAATCATAGGGTTTTAATTTAAGTGTTGGAATATTTCACATCAGGGGGAGTATCTAGAAGCATACTCACATGATTTTAATGTACGCTTTTTCCTACGATTATGAGCATTTTTCCCATTGAGTTTTTGCTACCTAACGAGGTTTTAATGAGGCACTCATCCTGGGATGATCATACTCCGTTGAGTTCACTACTTTCGTCTTGTTTGAGATTTGTTTTAGACATTATGCATTCTTCTCATTTTTCTCCTTAGTCTATGGGTTTTCCCCATGCCTTGGGTTTTACCATAGTGAGGTTTTTGTGAGTTTTACTACAAATTCATACTTCACTTAAATTTGAGACTCGCGATCACCCGTTGTGCCGATGACTTCATCAACTATTCTACCTTATCTGCTGAAGATCTGATGCTATGGTTTGTTGAGTATTTACACACTTAAGGGGGAGTGTTGCAATCATATTTAGAATAGGAATGTGATTGTGTAAATCCTAGTAGATATGAGAATGTATCTTATATTCTTATTTAGAGTAGATTACCTATTAAATGTTGTAATCCTAAAGGGAAAGGTGTTTACCTCTCCTACTACTAGAAATAAAGGCACAATGGAGTGAATCAAACACACCTCACAATTAAATTAATCTCTCTTCTCCCTTAATATTGCCGGCCGCCTCTCTCTCTCTCTAAACCGTAGATCGTTCAATCAAATAGGCCTACAACACTCCCAATTTAAAATATGTGAATTTTATCAACCTAAAATGGTCCGATTATATAAACAAGTATTTAGTTAGTGAAAAGAGGGCTGTCGAAAAAGGGAAGAAGGAAGAAATAGAGAAGATGCTAACGGTTGCCGGCCTTCAAACAAGTATTTATTTGTCCTTTCCAAACCTTACGAAAGAAATAGGTGCCTGCCGGATTTGGATGGGGGTGTCGAAACTAATAAGGGAAGAAGGAAGAAATAGAGAATATGCTATACCATTGCTAAAAAGAAAACAAATAAGGAAAGAAGGAAGGAAGAAAGAAAGAAAGAAAGAAAGAAAGAAGAGGAGCCAAAATAATTGAAACCAGAAGCAACAATGGCAGCAGCTGAGATGACAGTATCAGCACTGCTGGGAGGCTTTGTGTTATTCGTATTATATGTCTATGAATCTTTGGTCTTAAAGCCAAAGAGGCTAAGATCAAAGCTTGAAAAGCAAGGGATTAGAGGGCCTCCCCCTTCATCAATTCTCTTCGGCAATATCCCGGACATGAACAGCATCAAACTCAAGGTGATGAGGGAGAAGTCAACTGCTACGGAAACAAGTAGTACCAGTGTCTCAAAAGACCGGCATGTTTTGATTGATCATGATTGGCCTTCAACCCTTTTCCCTCATCTCGTGCAATGGCGAAACCACTTTGGTAGACCATTTCTGTCATCATAATCTGTTTATATACTTTATTTTACAATAACATAGTGGTCGAAAAGTAACATAAGCAGTCTTGTAGTTACCTTTCAATTGTTTGCTATATAAGCAGACCTGTAGATGGTTTTGTTTAACATGGTAATCTCAGCTCTTCAATATTATTATTATTTTTTAAATAGTAACAGAAAGGAGGTGACCAGATTTTCCTTTTGTTTTAGCTCTCTTCCAGCTATCTTCGGTATGCTTATTTAGTATATAATGGTGGCAGGGCCAAACTTCACATATTTAACTGGAAGCATACAGCAATTAAGCATAACTGATTTAGAAATGGTGAAGGAAGTTTGTTTGTGTAGATCTTTGAACTTAGGGAGGCCTACTTTTGTATCTAAGGATCGTAAGCCACTGTTCGGCCAAGGAATTATAGCGTCAAATGGTCCAATTTGGTTGCACCAAAAAAAAATTATTGGTCCAGAGTTCTACTTTGAAAAGGTTAAGGTAAATGACAACTAAACCTCAGACTAGAATTATTAAATTTACTCTTTCAAAGTTTAATTTGGCAATTACCAAATTGACTGCTTAATTTTAAGGGTATGGTGGATTTGATGGTGGACTCCACAACCACCATGTTGAGATCTTGGGAGAGTAAAATCGAAAACGAAGGAGGAAGTGCAGTCTTTGAAGTTGATAAGGATTTGAGAAGCTTGTCGGCCGATATTATATCAAGAACGTCCTTTGGAAGTAATTATTCACAAGGGAAAGAAATATTCTTAAAGCTCAGAACTCTTCAGAAGATCATGTCCCAGGGAAATACTGGTGTACCGGGTGCGAGGTATATATGTATAACAATATAACAAAGCTCATGTTCATCATACTTTAAGCATTTAATAATACATATACCACAAATGGAAAAAATTGCTGTAACCGGTTATATATATATATGGTACAAAGAGTTTTCTGTATACATATGCTCCATAAAAGCTTACAATGGTGTCAGTAAATACCTCCTTGGTATCATACTAAAGGTTTGTTAAATGTATGAATGCCAGACACTTACCAACGAAAAACAACAGACTGATATGGAGACTAGAGAAAGAGATCAGTGCTATGATTTTAAGGGTTGCGAAGGAACGCAGTACTGAGGCTACTTGTGACAAGGATCTTCTGCAAATAATACTCGAGGGAGCCAAAAATTATGAAGACGCTAATAGCCTATTTTCAGGTATATCCCAGGATAGTTTTATAGTGGATAATTGCAAGAGTATATACTTTGCTGGCCACGAAACCACTGCCACAGCAGCGTCTTGGAGCTTGATGTTATTAGCTGCACATCAAGACTGGCAAACTTGTGTCCGTGCTGAGGTGCTTGAATTTTGTAGGGATGGCATTCCAGATGCTGATTTGCTTCGAAACATGAAAATAGTACGTCACTTACCATATACGTTAACATACCTACATTTAAATATGTGTGTGTGAATGAAATGTATATCTGCACTCCTTTGACAAAAAAAAAATGTATATCAGCACTCCCATAGGCACACAAGTTCTACGCACTCTGGTACAGTACCAGAGTGTACAAATGATGCTGATATACAGTACCAGTGGTACTGGAAGTATTATGTTACCCTACACATTTTTGTATTATACGAATTGATACTCTTTCTATGAAAATGATACGCAATTTATTCATAACTAATTGTACAAATGATGGCAGTTGAATATGGTGATTCAAGAGACACTGCGCCTGTACTCACCATCAACGGTTGTTGCAAGAGAAGCCTTGGAAGATATTGAGCTGAAAGGCATTCTAATTCCCAAAGGAACGAACATTCAGATTCCAATTCCTATAGTGCATCGACTTCCTGATATCTGGGGTCCCGATGGCCATGAATTCAATCCAAAAAGATTCGAGCATGGAATTGCTGGGGCTTGCAAGTTTCCTCAGGCTTATATGCCATTTGGAGTTGGTGCCCGTATCTGTACTGGCCAACACTTAGCCATGACAGAGCTGAAGGTGATTCTGTCACTTATTCTGTCCAAGTTTTCCTTCTCACTCTCACCAGAATACCAACACTCCCCGGCTTATACGTTGGTTATTATGGAACCCGAACATGGAGTTAGTCTCCATATGAGGAGAGTGTGACTAGTTGTGTTTTCGTAGAGATGTACTGATATGTTGTGGATGTTCGATTTTACAATAGAGTAATGATACGTAATGATAGTTTAATTAATTTCGTATTTATAGCCGAGTTTGAGGATTTAGGGCTCTCACGCAACTTTTGCTTTGCGGTTTATGGAGCTTTGGGGGTGTACTTTGTTCTAAAAGGGTTTTTCCTAACCCGCATCTTAATAATATTTTGATATTCAATTATGATGATGCAAAATTAATTGTCATTTTCTAGGGCGAGGCTATGAGCCTTAGCCTGCTTGTTTTGAATTTTCAAAGCATGCTTACTTATTCTTTTCAATTACTTATGATGTTATATATGCATGCTTGCTATGAATTTTCAATCACTCTATTTAAACTAATTCTATGTCTTAATCCTTAGCTATCATTAGAATGTTTAGACAAGTAATCATAAACAATTTATGTTGGAATGTCACTTGCAATGGTTAATGCTTTTGTTGGAATGTCGCCTACGTTGTGCAAGAGCAACTAAGAGCTAACTACATCCTTCTGGTAAATGCGGGCATGCTAACTCGTGATTGAGCTTGGTCGGCGAGTAAGACAAACATGGTGGTGGTGTGGAATGAACTACAAACTTCTGTGCTTGAGCGATCACGACCGAGGAAGCAACACGTCTCGATTTGGGTTCTAGAACCTAAAGCCAAGGTTGCTAATTTACTATCAAGTTCAAATAAGGTTCGACTTTCAATGTGCGGAACACTGAGTAACTTGATAACACGTCACTTCGCCAAGAGGTTATTGAGATGACCTCTTCAATGAAAGAACTGTTGGAAGTATGCCCACAAAGCCACTCATTTGATGTAATAGCTTTTGGAAAACTTATTGTGTTAAACTATTATATGTTTAATGAAGGGCAAATCTTATTGTTAATCACTATTTATTGTATTATGTGTTTAAGCAATAAGGAAATCCAAGGAATGTATTTAATGTAAGAGATAAGTGATCTAAGTAAGTTAGATTAACGAGACCTTTCTCTTATGTTCATTCCTAAAACGTTCCTAGCCATAGGATTGCCAATTGGGCATTGACAATCCGCTAAGGTTAGTATGTGTTATGTTAACTCAAGCGTGAGTATAACTAGTCTCAAGTCATTTAGTGTTGGACACTGAGACAAACACATAGGTGCTCGAAAAGTAATTGAGTACACTGAACAACGATAAAAAAGGAGTTCGAACATACATGTCATGTAAGAACTCTTAAGTTGCAATATGCAAAGTAGTCCTTTGACCTGAGGCATCATACTTGTCTAATGGTTGGATCCTTGATCTTTGATCATGTTAAAGGCATTCCATTGAGAGTGTCCACGGCATTGTTGGGGTCAAGCTATCTAGTCATGTAGGCATATGAATGCACAACAAGGGATCTCTAACCTTCCATGGTGGAGGGAGAATACTCTGAGATATGATTCGGGAGTCTTTGATCAAAGCATACGAATATGACTTAGGAAGTTTGTTTCAAATCATATTCAATTGAATCATATAGAGAAGTATCACATTGGATAGTAGACATGAAACAAACTATCACTCAAACAATATGATTAAGAGTATTGTATTAGAGAAAGACGGTATTGCGTTGTACTTGTAACTGGATAGGTTCTCCAACCACTTCTACTTAGCTTGGGTAGCCATGACATATTGCTAGATGTCACTCATGGTTTGTGGAAGCCCTAAGGATTAGCAAACACTAATCTTCATCAAAGGGAGAATTGAAATTTAGTTTCAATTCACAATTGATCGTTAAGAGTAACAACCTAATGGATCGTACACCGAGTAAGGATGAATATGAAGAAATATATATGAGATGGATAAGCAATTAAATAGTTTAATTGAGAATGGTCAAGATTAATTAATTAGTTAATTAATCTTAAGAAAGGTTCGTATTGGGCTTTTAAGTTGGTTTTGAGTTTCGGAGCCCAAAAAGGTTTGTGGTCCACAAGGCCCATTGAGTATAGGTTGTGTGACAGCTAAAACTAAATGAAAATTAACCCAAAAACAAAGTCAAAACCGTCCAAGGGTGAGTGGTAGCAAACTTGGGTTAATTGCAAGTTTGCCACTCACATGTGAGGAGGTATAAAGGCAACTTTTTAGCCATTCTCTCACTACAGTTTTCTTGAGGAAACGAAGAGAAACTTTTTCTCTCTTTTTCTCCATACAGGCCGGCCATTTAGGGGAAGGATAGCTAGCAATCTTTCTTCCTCTAAGTCATCCATTTCATCTTCACACATCATCCTTGGTGTGGAGACTTAGAGACACTAAAGCTTTGGTGTTCTTGGAGATCTTTTCCTCACATCCTCAAGGAGCAAAGGAGTATCAAAAGGAAGAAAAACACAAGGAAGATCTAAGGAGCTAGGAGGTGACTTGAAGGCCCTCCACTTGGGTGAATCCCTTGTGTAAACAAGGATGAGCTTCAAGGGTAATGAATCTCAAAGTCCTTTCTTCTCTTTAATATTGTTAAAGAGTCTTGTGGTTCACCATTCACTAGGCTTTGAAAGTCATGGGTTTTAGAATTGTTTTTTAATGCATGCCTAGTTTAAAGTGTTATTAGTTTGCTTATGTGTTCAAATGTTCTCACATGTTCTTAGCTAGGACAAAATTTTTTCCTTCAAGAACAAAGACTCCTTACTCACAGAGACTTGGATAAGTAATTAGCCGAACTTGAAGTAGTGTTGTTAATCCAAACTGAAGAAACTTCTTGACCGTCGAATTCTATGGCTCCAATGTTCTTAATCCAAATTGAAGATGTCTCCGATTGTCAACACAGAGTTGTTACTCTAAATTGAAGATGTGTTGACGAAGTGGTTAGGGTAATTAGTAATTTCTCATAGTGTGACAAAGATCTGTGTAGAAAGGTTTTGTGCAGAGTGTTTATGTGTTGAGTTGAAGGTCTTCTCCATATTACCAAACAACTTCTATTTATAGGGGTGAATTTCATGATGACCACGTATACCGAAGTAAAGTTTCAACAGGTGAGTTGAAGGTCTTCTCCATATTACCAAACAACTTCTATTTATAGGGGTGAATTTCATGATGACCACGTATACCGAAGTAAAGTTTCAATAGGACTATGACTATTCGGCATATACTTGTATATTCTTGATATTATCCCATCACTAACCAAAACTAGTTTGGTCATTGTCTCGGACACTTTAACTTGAACCAGGATTCTGAACCTAGTCCTCTTATGTGTTCAATTCACTTCCCTTATTTGATCAGTCATGTTTTGATTCTTGGAATGATTCGAGTCCTATCAAAACCATCCTAATCATTAGTGATAGGAGCATATTTATGCAATTTAGTTATCTTGTTTTCTTGCATTTATGTTGTTAGTTCTTACTTATTATAGTGTTTTAAACTATTTTCGTGTGTTTGTAGGTCCAAATGATAAAGTAGGCAAGAAAGTGCATTTTGGAGCATTTTTTTAGCCAAGAATGGATAGCACATGTATGGAGCAAGGTGGATGGACGTTTTTGAAGTTCAAAAGGCTAGGAATATGCTAAGGAGATGAAGAAAATCAATTCAAGACAAATAAGATAAGGAATCAGCTCAAAAGAAGGAAACATTATCCAAAACCTTATCCAAACTAACTTTATCTTATCTTATCCTATCATAATCTTATCCTACCTTATCTCCAGCTGCAAAAGGAGTCCTTATCCTATTCTAAATCCTTCCCATCTGAATTTAGGAGTCCTAATCCATCTAAACACATTAATTTTTTTCCTCCCTGGAATCTGATTAGAAGTATCCTTATTCCTTGATGATTTGGAGTCCTAATTCTCTTCCTACTCACCCTAGCCGTGCCTTACATTCTCCCTATAAATATAAAGTGTTGTAGCACTCAGAAATAACCCACCTTCCATCATAAATTCGTCCCGTACATCACTCATACACATTCATCCCATTGTGTTGCAACTTTGCTAGGAGATAGGAGAGGAGACCCCTGGAGCCATGCTTGCCATTCAAGACGTTGGATTATTGGAGCATTTCTAGGTGTATTCTATCGGTTGCTTTAATGTTTAAATTTAATTGTCTTTGTTTAATTGCAAACATGAGGAGCTAAACTTGTTTTAACTAGGGGGAAATTCAAAGCCATGAACATATTTGCAATATGAATTGATTACTTCCAATTATGATTTCATGAATCGTGAATGCAATTTACTTAACTGTTTGATTCAGAGCTTATTCTTGTTGGTTGATTAAGGGTGCACACTTAGTTTGCATGCAGGGATTTGATGCTAGAATATAAGGGAATTTCACCTAATAGTTATAAACTTATATTCACAAGTAGTGGAGGTTGCTAGTCACAATCGTGTTAAGTGAATTCCTGGCAGGAGTATCATGCTGTCATAGTTACGAATGCCTTGTCAATGCTTATGATTTTCACAAAGTTTAATGATCTTTGATTGCATCTCTATTATGCTGTTCATGTAGGGAACTATTGAAGAATAATGGTTGCCGATGCGTTGTCTATCCAATTCAATGAGTTAAGGAAAATCTGAGGGTTAATTAGTGCTGTTCACGGTTAATCTAGGGCGTTGAGGTTCATGGTTTATTGGAAAAGCAATAAGAAATCGATTTGTATGCAAGTGTGTCATGTGTAGAGAAGAACCCTCTAGCTAGCCATTCACCCATTAAATCACCAATTTCGTCCAAAGTTATTTAGAGTCTTAAATCTATTTAGTTTAACTTTAAATTCGTCAAAAACCCAATCCCCTTTACTTTGCTGTGTCAAGTTAGTTAGAATCTATCCAATTTGTGTTTTTAAGTGTCTTGAGTCAGTTAAAATCAATTTTCGTCCAATTCACCCTCTAGTGTCTAATTTGAGTCTATTTGATTGTTTTGTGCTGTTTTGAGTCTTTTGAGTTTGTTTTGAGTTCTTTGAGTCTAGTTAAGTGTTTTCAAGCCTAGTTTTGTGTTTTTGAGTCAATTTTTGTGTAGATTAGCAGCCCTAGTTAATCCCCGATCTAGAACGATCCCTACTTACATCTACAATTGTTAACAATAGGGTTAATTTGTGTGTCACTTAGGAGTTTCAATTCAATCAGGACTCAACCGAATCATTCCTAGATCCAATCCTCTATGGTTTCTACTTCTACCGAGATTTGACCAAATCATTACTTGGGTTGACTATCATTTAGCCTGAGAAATCTATTATTGTGCCAAGAGTTACTAAAGCTAGGTTATCCTATTTTGGCCCAAACCTAATATTTCAGGTTGAAAACATTATTCCTTCGCTTCTCAAATCCTCGGCCATGAACACCTGGCCAGAGATTGAAGAAGCAGATGCTTCTCAACCAACCTCTAATTAGCATTTATTGCATTGATTTCTATGTTCACGCCACTTTGCCTCAACTGACACAATGTTGCCATGTGTCGAATTCTTATGGGCACTGTTCTAAAAATCTCCGCCTAGCCCTACCTAAATCTCGTTTAGGCGCTAGGCAGCTGGTTACCACCCCGATTAATGCCTAGACATTTGAAAATTAAGAAAGGGCGTTAGACCTGCTGAGGCGCCTGCATAGACCTCTTAAACACCTGCCTAACCCGTCCAGACCCGCCTAGGTTATGACTTATTTAGACAGAAAGTACATAACTTTCAATAAATTGTAAAAAACTTGTTGAATACTTAAATGAGCACATATTATATGCTTGTACCCTATGTTTTCATTATGTTCTAATACTTCATAATCCATATGTCACTTTATTTTGTAGTTTATGATTAAATTATATATATTTTAAGTATAAATAGACACTTATTTACACAAAATATAATAGATTAACATAAATCCACCTAGTTCGCCTAGGCGTCTGCCTAGACCCTACCTAGCTACCTAAGCGTTGGACTTCAGCCCATCGCCTGACTAGCGCCTAGCGTCTTTTAGAACCTTACTTATAGGGTCTCTCTATCTTTGTCCATTCCACACACTGCACTCTCGAGACAGCCTGGCCACCGAAACGTCCATCCTTGATGGACATGCTTTGAAAATCGAGACACATCAGCCCCGTGTTCACTTGGGCAGCATGAAGCAGCTCAAACGCATCGTTAAATCCTATGTTCACTCTAGATTTTCTCGGTTATAAAAAATTAGAACCCTAAACTCCCCAAGGTTTTGTGTATAAAAGCCTCCAAAAACTCTGCGCACTTGAATTCAACCTTTCAAATTCCCAGAAATCTAACCTATTTTCCATAATTCATCCAACCTTTAAACCTTTCCAAACGACTCAAACTCGAACCTCCTATTCTTATTGCCAAAAGATCTCCGATGAGCTTCAAAGAATCAAAAGCTTCGTCGATCACTAAACCACAAAACTATTTAGTCATTGTGATGAATATGATGCTAGCCACCAAGTCTTTGGCCCTCTGTTCAAGGATTATATCCCGAATTCCATTACCTCACTGATGAAGAAAAATATGATAGAACTTCTTTTCTAAGGCGGCGACTAGGCTAAGTAAGAGTTTACCAAGCGTTAGGTGGCCTAGCCTTTGGCCTCAACTGCTTGGGCCACGTGGGTCAACCAAATGGAATCCTATTTCAACGACTCATGGAAGAGTCTGGGCATATTCGACGCCATGGACTAAGAACTCCTGATGGCGGCCTTTGGTGCCCGACCACCAATATGATGATTCTTTCTTTTGGCCCAATAAGCCCGACTATGTTAGACATCATTGCCATCCTTGTCACACTTCCATCTAGTGTCACGGTTGATGCTAGGGATGGGCACTATGCGGTTCCACCCTTAAACCAGAACTGGAATCGGAAAATATCAACGGTTCGGTTTGATGCGGTTTCATTTAAATTTATTACTAAAACTTTACAGTTCAGTCTACACCGGTTCCAATTCGGTTCTTGCCAGTTTACGGTTCCGAATACTAAATTATTTGAACACCAAATCATCATGCATTCAAATAAATTTCTAAAATTGATTATATAAAGTTGCATATAACACATATTCCTTTTAATGCAAATGTCTTTGGTTAGTGGCACCAAGTCAACAAAAGGAAAATTAAAAGAAATATGCATAAAAGTCTGTTCCTCTCAATGTAATTGTGACAGAGAAACCAGAGATTGCTGTAAAATTACAAAGACATAACAATCTTAGAATCAGGATGGCAATATCAGGTAGATGTCAAACACATGCCATCTCTTGTTTATTTTTCTTCTAGGGTTTTGGGGTGAGGAGAGAATGGAAAACCAGTAGAACTCAACCATATTCCCAATCTCAAATATGAAAAAAGATAGAGAAAATACCAAAGAGAGCCATAACAAAGATAAGCTCAAAAGCAGTGTAACTTACATCTTCCTACATTGGTCGGTTGTGAAGAGAAATAGAGATAAACACAAAACCAAAGAAAGAGGAAACTTATTCGTACTTCATTAAATAAAGGCTAAGAAGAAATTCCATTAACACATCAAATTAATCATTACCTCATCTCGAACAGAGGTTTCTGGGAAGTTCTTAATCCAAAAGCTGAACCTGGCAAGGAACAAGATATATCAAGTTAACTGGTATCAAGTAAAAGCTGAAAAGCAGACGCTACTAATACTAATCATCAAAATGCTAATAGCATTTTAGAAGTCTACAATAGAAATTACTAAATAAGATCTCATAAATTCAGTGGATGCATCATGCCGAATCCAAAACTAAATTACAACTATGTAAATCAGCATTAAGAAAGCAAAAATAAGTTGGACCGTGCTTGATGATTCAGTTGAAACAAATACTAGTACATTTATAATGGCCATACTAGGGAGAACGAAATTTTTGGATGAGAGGCCATGAGTGAGGTGGGCGGCGACTCGGCTGAGTGAAAAAGGAATGGAAATCTAAAAGTATGAAATGGGGGATGAGGTCGTGAGTGAGGGTGAGGGTGAGGTGGGTGAGCCCTAATTGGGATGGGATCCACTGACAATGGAATGAATAATATGTAAATAAAAATTGAAAGCGATTGATAGCCAAACCATGAAATCACCACAACATGCATGAGTTCTACGAAGGTTTCAGAGCTTACATAGAAAAAGAACGATGTCAAAAGCAAAGGAAAAGGGAGGTGATGGGATTGTAGTAGAGGTCATGGTGAAAAGGAAAACGGCAGGTGTATCCACCAGGACCAGGACAATCCACCATAAGCAAATGTAGGAAGAAAATACAATTGTTGAGTGTCACCTAACCAATGCCGCAAGTTGAGATAGTAAGTCAAGCTATTCCTCACCATGGAATCATATGAATTAATTGGCCAAGCTAAACTCCTGTATCCATTAACACATATAAGTGGAAACTAAAATTTTATATTGTTGAAATGCTGAATTACGTCATTTAATTATATGCAATGACATTAGTGAAGGCTAAGATTCTATAAATGACGATATGAATACATTTAGTGAACTAATCAAGTTCCAAATGAACTGGAGTTGTTAAATGTACTTTGAAATAGTTATCTTGTGCGCTTCATTAGTGAATTGTTTGACTCACCATCTACTGATAGAAGTATATATTTCACAATCTATTACATTAAGATAAGGGGTACTTTGAGAATGATTAGATTGATTCCAATTTTTAGAAGTCATGATTATGGCTTACAGTATTGTGAGTAGACATTAGAGACCATGTGTGAAAATTATAAACTGGATTCTCCATTAACATAATCTTCCATGAAAATAGTAACAATTTTAAACAATATACTCATATAAAATTGCAAACTTAAACTGAACTCATTATTAGCTGCTAACAATAATCATAAATAACATTAAACCCCACTAATACTTCAAAGGAAAAATAAAATAAAAACGGATAATATTGGATCAGACCTAAATCTTGAAATACAGAAGAAAGTATTGATGGAAACATAATTTGTATACAAAGTAGGATTGTGAGAGCAGAATCCCAAACTGTATATACAAGTAGTTTGCCAAATTAAGCTGCTCCAATTAGTGGTAAAAACATATTAAGAACACAATTCCAAATATTACCAAGAGTAACCAACTCTGGTAAAATTGAGAAAGAATAAAAAAAACCCAAATTCTAGAAACCAAGAAGAATGCAAACTTTATATGGAAATTGAAGGCTACCCGCAGATAGGCAGCAGCAAAAACAAACGGAATAGGGAGAGGCGAGTTGAAGAGGCAAGGCGTCTGGCCCCTGTTGGTGTGTAACCCTTTAGCTGAAGCTTGGCAGCAAGGATCATGTTTTATGTTTTATTTCAGCTTGAATGTGAGCCATTGGATCATAGTCCACATGGCATTTTAATCATGTTTCTAGTCTAAGTAATAGAATAAGTCATGTGGCATCATCTCATAGGAGGATAGCAATGAATGGCTAAGATTGTATTGTATGTTAGAGAGTGAAGGATCTCCCTTCCTTTCTTCATATAACGGTTAGAATGTATTTTGTAAAAGTGTGGATGAAATTTGAAGAGACATGTTCTTTGCAGCTTCTTCTCTCTGAAACTCTCTCCACCATTAAAGATAACTTCCATTGAAATACATATGGAAAACACACACAAACACTAACATGGCCTCAGAGCCTGGTTTCATCGTCTAATCTGGGCGTGAAATATGTGCGATTGAGCTACATCTTTAAGCTTCAATCGAATCTGGAAATTGTGATTTCTTGTATCCAAGTCTAATATGGCTGGGTCCGGCAATGTCGAGCTTAGAGCTCTGGTCTTCAATGGAGAGAACTATGAATTTTGGAGGATTCGTATGACAACTATACTGAAATTGTATGGTTTGTGGGAGCTGGTAGAAAATGGCTTTGAACCTCCAGATCCGAAGTCTGAGAAAGCTGTGGTCGACGAGACGAAGAAGGAGATGACGGATGAAGTGTCATTCAGTGAGATTCTGATGAAGGATGCTCGTGCGCTTGGAATGATACAAGGTGCAATCTCGGATCAAATCTTTCCCAGAATCGAATGAAGAGACATCCAAAGGAGCTTGGGATGTTCTGAAGGGTGAATTCCGAGGAGATAAACAAGTAAGAAATGTAAAATTGCAAGGTTTACGTAGAGACTTTGAATATACTCGTATGAAGGATAGTGAATCATTATCTGTATATCTCTCTCGATTGTTTGATATCATTAATCAAATGAAAAGGTATGGAGAAGAACTATCTAGGGAGAGAATTGTGCAGAAATTACTTATTAGTCTTCCGAAAACATATGATGCAATTGTTTTGTAATTGAGCATTCTAGAGATCTTGAAACTATTGAGGTTCAAGAAGTTGTAGCTTCTCTAAAAGGATTCGAACAGAGGCTTGATTTACATACTAAGTCTTCGACTGAGAGGGCATTTGCAAGTTTAAATGTAGCATCTAAGGGTGTCAAAAGTGGTGGATTTTCTGGGAATCAGAGGTCTCAAGAAAGTTGGAAGTCAAGGGGAAAAAGTTGGGATCATAAACCAAACTTTGTTCAGAAGCAGTGTAACACTCAAATGAGTTGGGATCACAAACCCAATTATTCTTAGAGACAGAATAATACTCAAAGGAAATGGGATCATAGGCCTAATTATGCTCAGAAGCAAACAACGTCAGGGTGATTGTAAGTGGTGTGACAGGTTGCACTATGGGAAGTGTTGGTATGAAGGTAAACCAAAGTGCACAGGCTGTGGTAAGCCAGGCCATTCTATAAGAGACTGTCATGAGAATAAAGGAGTGCAGAAAGTTAATTATGTAAAGCAAATGGGAGAAACATGATCATTGTTTTATGTCTGCAATGCAGTGACTGATGTGAAAGTCAATAACTCATGGTACATTGATAGTGGTTGCAGTAACCACATGACAGGAGATGAGAGATTATTGGTCAATGTTCAGAAAGATTTGACCTCCAAAGTAAAGATGGGAACTGGAGAAATTTGTCAAGTGGCAGGAAAGGGAACTTTGGTGATTGAAACTAAATTGGGAAGAAAACATATACAAGAAGTAATGCTTGTTCCTGGACTTGAAGAAAATCTTCTCAGTGTAGGACAAATGATGGAAAATGGTTATTATTTGTTGTTTGGAGGTGATATAGTTAATATTTTTTATGGTTGGTCACTGGATAATTTAGTAGTGAGGGTGCATATGACCAACAATAGATATTTCCCTTTGAAAATGTTGCCTGCAACACAATATGCACTAAGAGCAGGTGTCACACATTGCTCTCAGATATGGCATAAGAGATTGGGTCATTTGAATGAGAGAAGTCTCAAGGTACTTGAAGAACAGGGGATGGTGCATGGATTGCCTAAATTAGAAATGTCTCAAAGTGTGTGTGAAGGCTGCATGTTGGGTAAACAACATAGGGACTCATTCCCTTCTCAATCAACTTAGAGAGTTAGAGATCCATTGGAGTTGATTCATACAGATATTTGTGGTCCAATGCAAGTAGAGTCTCACTCCCTTTCTGTTGGTCGATGTGAGATCTTACAATCCACCCCCCTTATGGGCCCGACATCCTCATCGGCAGACTCGCACCACACGACAGAGTGGCTCTGATACCATTCTGTCATATCCTAGGCTCGACTCTGCTGTAGCACGATATTGTCCATTTTGGGCTTACCATTCCTTCACGGATTTGTTTTTGGGAACTTCGACGAGAACTTCCCAGTGGGTCACCCATCCTAAGACTGCAGCCGCCCGAACTCGCTTAACTTCGGAGTTCTGATGGAATCTGAAGCCAGTGAGTTCCCAAAAGGCCTCGTACTGGTTTAGAGCAGATTGATTTGGGAGAGAAGAAGACAAATCAGACGGAGATTCCATGAAAATAGAGAATCAACACTCAGAGATGCACATAACCGGTGAGAAATCAAGAATTCAAGTATGAATTCAAGTAAAAATTTGATGAAAAATGAAGCGGAAGAGGATCGAGATGTCAACGAGTATAGGAAACTTAGCTTGTAATGAAACCTCAGTTGTAAAAAATGTATTTCAATTTCATTCAATGAATAATTTCAATGTACACTTTGTTATATATACAGATACATTTCTGATGACCTTTCTATCCTTAGTTGTCATTCCCCGACCAGCAAGTAAGGACTATTCACGAGTTAAGGTATGAGTCATATCTTAGCTATAGAAATAAATTCTACAACCAAGATATGGTGGAAAATAAAAAAAAATTATACCGATTACACATACATCACATAACAAAATCTTACATAAAATTTATCGAAAACGCAGCAGAATAACGTTTGTGCACAAATTAGGTTACAACAAAAACTACCAATTAATAATAATAAAATTGTAACAATTCTTTCAATGCATAAAGCATATGCAAATGAGATGCATGAATGTACTCACTCTCTTCTAATCCCGCTAACACATACCTAAGGCACGCAAGCATTCACGTCTCATACCATGCTTATACCACTTGGCTTTGAATACCTTAGAATACGAGTTAACTCCTGTTCATCCCTTAAACCCAATTCTCATAATTAAATTCTCAATTTTCACTTTATTTATATAGGCACTTCCCCCGACGCCCAATTGTGCATTCAAGCCCTTCTCCCGACCATGACATATACAAGATTTCATTATTTTATAACCAATCGGTTGTATACTCAAGCCCTGCACCTGACGCCTGACATATACAAGGTTCATTATTTTGGATTTAAGGCATTCTTCATCCCTTGAATATCCTCACAACTCAAACACAACTCAACTCTTTTTCTTACTTTACAAGAATGCTTATGTATATGTCATGTAACATGGATATCAATAATCACATGCTCTAAAACATCTGCAACACTAATCAAATTGTTAGTAGCCAAAATTGTATTATATTATCAATAATATAGGTGATATTGATGCATAACCCCATTTGAGTTCCATAGAGCAATTCTGTTGGGTAAGCTATCATGCATTTTATGAGATTTGTCTCTTATTTTATAGCATTCTTAAGGGAAGTAAATGGAGATTTTTGATGGTTTGGTGGGAGTGCTTCTCATGACAATGATCTCAAAATGTAAATTCATAAACAACACAAGATTTAAGTGGTTCACCAAATTGACTACATCCACTGGGGTTTGCTTTCGTTGTATTTCACTATATATGAGAGACTTATAAATACAATGAAAGATGGCTTAAAGCCTTAACAATATATAAAAGAAAGATAAGAGGTAATATGAAAGGGAGAATGGCTTTTTGTTGGAGTTGGTTCTTTTTCTTTCTTTTTTCTTCTTCTTCCTCTCTCTTTTCTCCATGTCCCTTCCATTGGTTCTTGCTCCTTCCTTTATAGAGATTGCATGACATCTTCCTCTCCAAAAAAATCTCCCAAGTGTGCCAATAGAAAGAAACCAAGTGTTGTGCCAATCATTAGACATAAAATGTGTTCCAATAACAAGGCAACAAATGTTGTCCTAATCGTTAGCCATGAAACGTGGTCCTATAGAAAAACAACAAATGTTAAGCTAATCATTAGCCCTAATATGTGTTCCAATAGAAACACACCAAATGTGAAGTTAATCATTGACAATGGTATGTGTTCAAATGGAAAAGATACATGTGTTAAGTTAATCATGAACTAATGAATATCATGCAAGATGGATGCAAGCATCAAAGGCCATGTCAAGGTTTATCTCAAGGTAAGCTTGTTGGATCAAAACACTTTGGTAAGTCTACAAAGAAATGGGCTAGCCAAATGGTGGTGAAATAAAAAGCTCCAATCAATGAAAAGCCTAACAAAATAATCTAACCTGCATGAAGCTACCAACTTAATGCATATTGCATTACAATTTATAATGAGATGTTAATTAGTACAAGCATCTCCAATTGGAAAAAAATTAAGTCTAAAAGTACTAGCTAGACAAAAATATATTCTTGTAGTAAAAGAATCTCTACTAACTTACATGCCAAAAATACGATATTTGTTTTTTTTGTTTTGTACTCATAGCGTATATAAAGAAACTTAATAAAATCATTGCATAAATATTTTTTTTTTTTTATACACACACATATATATTGTCATTTTTTTAAATACGGAGTGTTATATTAACTAAATTAACTAATTACAATCAAGTTCCTAACCAACACAACCTTAAACCAAAGGTGTATGCGTGTGCCCGTTCTTGTGAAACCATACCGTGAACCATTTTGCAAGAACTAGGTTCACTCACTATAGCGACGCACTTCCCTGGATGCAAGGCCCCACAACAATAAGCATCACGGGCCGCCATGTGCCTCCACCGACTGTGGTAATTGTGATTGTTCGACAATCAAAATTCTGATTTTCGAAAGTGCAGTTAGCTGGAGTAGACACATGTTGACATTTTTTACACATGACTAGATTCTCGTCGGAAAACGGCGAAGAAGTTTCAGGTGGCCTAATGCTTTGCGGGTTGATTTGCCACCTACAATGAGATACGATGATTTGGGTCTTTCGGATATTTTTCCCCTTGGGTGATGATTTACGGTTTGGTGGTGGCGGCATCCGTTGTCGCCGGAAGTGGCCAGAAACGGTTGAGAACCGTGTACTTATGCTCTATCTACCTAGCTCAAAATTAGATTGAAAAGATCAATTGAAATTTTAAATTACAAAAGTTTCATTAACTCCATTCGGAAAAATAAAATATGACGAAATTCAATTAAAACTAAAAATCAAAATACTATAAATGAAAAGTAAATCAAAATACTATAAATATGACGAAATTCAATTAAAATTAACTCCATGCAGTGGTGTTGGAGACAACAGTGGTTGCTAGTGGTGATTTACATCTCATTTGAAAAAGTTTAACCATACAAGACGATTATTGCCCGAACATGATTTCGTACAGCCGGGAGTGTTACACAAGTAAGATACTCAATGAAACATGGATTGACTGAACAAATACGTGTGAATTCGAATTGGCCCTGTTCTACATTTGCCACCGTATCAAGTATAGCACTCTATAAATCTAATACCACCTCTAATGAGCCCAAAACTAACTTTTGCGCCTTACGATATGAGCAGAAATCCTGAAGAGTTTCATGAGAAAAGAGACCTACTCTTGTTACGTTCCAATCGAGCTAGCCTCTGTTGCAACAAAAAACATAAACCATATAAGCAAACGAGCAGCATACAAAATTACCAATGCAAACAGATGATGCCTTCTATCTGCAGACTTTGGTGCGTATGTGGGTAAACAATGGAAAATGACATGCCAACGAAATTCTTTACAATCGATTCGTGCAACACACGACCATCATGTTCAAGTATCTACCAGAAACAAAATTAGACAGCTTAAATTTTTTTATCGACTATGCCTGGAACTTCATTTTAAGGTTGGTTTTTTTTTTTTTTTTTGTCAATAACCTGACTTCACTGTGTAAACAGATGAAGATTAAGTTGCATAGATTCTTGAAAACATATAATTATCCAATTATATTTATTTCTTTACCGGAAGGACCTCATAGGCAATGATGGATATCCAATCTTTCATCAGGATGTGCAATAAACGAATAAAGACTACAGAGCAATCAAGTATCTAAAAGTAATAATACCTCCTGTTTCTTGCATTCTTTGTAAATATCAAAATGCTTTTGACATTTGCTCTTGTCCGAGTTATATTCTTCTAGACCTGCAAAGTTTACAAAAGGAATCAACACTTAGCCAAAATTACAATTGATCTCCATTTTGAGTTTGTAAACTAAGAAACATAACTCATGAAAGAATATGATTATCAAACTAGTTCCAAGTTCCAACCCTCACAGTATCTTTCCAACCCGTGTTGTGTCCCTATGTGCACATCTGTGTGCAGCCACCGCTAAAAGCTCAGATGTATAGATCTCTTATATCAAAGTATACCCTTCAGCATTACCACAGGATAAAGGAGCTAGAATTGCATACTCATAATTTAAGACCACATTCAAGTAAAATACAAGAAAAACAAAAACTAACCAAGAAAAAGAAATCCACTATAGGGAAGTCGAATACGTCAGTCTCATAGAAGAGAGGATGGAAAACTTAGAGATGATAAAATGTAATTGGCATGAGTATGTTGGGCAGTTGGGGACAATTAAGGAAGAAACCTATCTTAATCCAAAAGTAGTTAAATGCCGTAAGGATGACAAAAACTATGGAAAATTTGTAATCAAGTTGGTCTTAGAAATGCGGCGAAAAGACTGGTACTGGTACACGCAACATGTGGTTGAGAATGAGGCATCATTCCAGTTGGCGTGATGAGTCAAATTTAACAATAGCTCTTAGGTAGCAACATTACGAATAACCTTACACAGAGGCCAGAATATCAGAGTGGAAGGGATGCAGTTATAAGAGCTTACCGGAAAACTGCATCACCTTAATTATATCATGTCTTCTCTTATCATCTATCCTAGTCTTCATTCCTAAATTCTCTGATCTAAACATCAATCAAGTTCGATGGAGTGTTCATATAATACAGTGGAAAAACTTTATGGTTCCCCTTAACAACCCAATCAGGCCACCAAATATCAGAATTTTTTTCCACTTTGGCGATTGTCCAAACCTAATGATTCACTTCTAGACTTGTCAAGCAATGCAGTTCTTAAAAATACCTACGAAAACTGGGTTAAGCTTTATAGAACATAATTAATGGTTTCTTTTCTAGAGATAGATATATTGTGGATAATTCTTCTAAACTAATCATGGGTATTTCTGTGCTCTCAAATTGATAAAATATTCATATTTCTAACACCTTTATCAATTTTCCACTAACAGAAATTTAACTGTCTTACCAAAACCGAAATTAATATGGCTACTCAATGAATGAGGAGGAGTTCCTCCTCAATTCACTACGTGACTGATTTACGGAATTTCATGCTTATGATCAGAACAATTCATGTTCTAGAAGACTTTGTAAAGATCATCTCTACAAAAAATCAACTAAAATATGCAGAGATGATATATTATATGAACAGTTCCGATCGATGTTATCGACCACAGCATATCCAGAGGAGGAAATCTTACTCCATCTTAACGAGCCAAGCCTCTCTCACCAAAAATAACAGTTCAATTTCCACCAGATTACTGCTACACCAAAAAAGAAAAGACAAAAACTTTTGAAACAAATTCTGCGAACTTCACAAACCCTAAGTCGCAAATTCGATACCATACAGAAATTTGAGCCTCAAAACTCAAAATTAAGCTTTAATTAACATCCCCAAATCCAATACCAATTAATTTTTCTTTGGAGGTTGGAGCTTAAAAACAAATTTGTCTGATAATGATCGGGCGTAATCAAGAAAAGTTAACAAAAAGGTTAAATTTGAAAGGAAATTTTATGCTTCGAAGTAAATTTAAGAAAACAATGAAAGCGTTGGAGGTAGCATACACTTTAAAGAGGCAGTGTACTGAGGATAACATTGAGAATCGGAGATTCTAGCAGCGCTTGGATACGGCGGTGTTGACGCTCCCGATGCCATGGCTGTTTCTACTCTGTATGTCTCCCACAGTTAAGTTCCATCTACAATTTACCGACTTTAAGGGGTGTATTATTTTAATGCACTCAATTATGTTTTTAATTGATTCTCAGGATTTTAAGATAATTTATTAAAATTTTTAGAAATTCGGATGTATTCAATTATAATTTTAAAGAAATTTATAACATTCAATTATAATTTGAATTTAAATCATTTGAAAAAGTTGAGGAATTTGAGAGAATTTGAGAGATTTTGTAGTATATTGTAAGCATCCATAAATCTCATATCTCCCCATGAGATTTCGAGCTAATTGAATTAAAATTTTACATAGAATCTCTATAAATCAGTTAAACTCCATAAAAATCTATGGATTTATAAATCCATTAAAATTTCTCAAATTCTCAATTGAATACACCTCTCATAAATCTTCTCCACACCAAATAGGTTTGGCCTATCTGTGGTCTCAATTATAAGTTTATGATAAACTTACAAAAAGTTAAGTTTATAATTACGTGTCAATTAATAATTAGATTTATATGAAAACTAATGAAAAGAATTTGAAAACTTTGAGTTTTAACCAAAAGTCATCTAATAACTTTTATTTAATGATAAGGACAAGAGATAAAAAACAAAAAATACAAAAACTTGTTCAACCCAAAGTGCGTGTGCACGTGAGCAATGCGAAAGCAAGCATTTACCAATTCAACAGAAAACCAACAGTGCAAAAGCAGCACACAAATTACTTTTTAAATATTTAATCGGGAAGGAAAAGATGCAGAGAGACATTGTGAGGGTAGAGAGAAGAGAATGTCAACCAAATCTAATCAAAATGACATCAGCAAACCCCAAAAAATTTGAGAGAGAGAAATTTGAGATAAAAAAATATATTGCTAACATCAATACATGACTACCACTTAGCCTTACACGTGGGGTAGCATGTCATCATCATCCTATGTTCAAATTATGGAATTCTTTATTAATTTTAACCCTAACCAACTAAAACCTAAAAATAAAAAATATTAGATTATGATCCTCAATGAAAGCACATTAGCTTTTCTGATCTTTCATTTATGTTTTCGTTGTTAATTTTGTATTGAATAAATTAAAGGAAAGTCAAAAAAATTGTTCGAAGAAATGTTAAAGAACAAATAGGAATGTGAAAAATCATTATTCTAACTCTGTATGAATATAAATATTATTGCCAATGATTCATATGATAATGTGAAGAGAGCTTCAAATTTTGAACCTTTTAGTGTTCAGTTTATAAAATAGTTGGTGTTCAGTTTAAAAAACAGTGATAGTGCTAGTGTTCGATTTTAAGAAATAGTCAGTATTGAGTTTACGAAATAGTTAGTTTTTTGTTTAAGAAATAGTCAATGTTTAGTTTACGAAATAGTGACAGTACTAGTTTACGAAATAGTGATAATACTAGTGTTTGGTTTAAGAAATAACCAGTACTTAGTTTACGAAATAGTGATAGTATTATTACTTGGTTTAATAAATAGTTTATTTAGTTTACGAAATAGTGATAGTACTAGTGTTAAGTTTAAGAAATAATCACTGTTTAGTTTACAAGGTGTTCGGTTTAAGAAATAGTCAGTGTTTAGTTTACGAAATAGTAATAGTACTAGTGTACAGTTTAAGAAATAGTTAGTGTTCAGTTTACGAAATAGTCAGTGTTCAGTTTAAGAAGTAGTGATAATATTAGTGTTACATTTAAGAAATAGTTAGTGTTTAGTTTAAGAAATATTATTCAATTTAAGAAGTAGTCAATGGTCAGTTTAAGAAATAGTGTTCGGTTTAAGAAGTAGTCAATGTTCAGTTTAAGAAATAGTGTTCAAATTTAAGAAGTAGTAAATGTCCTGTTGTTTGGACCCAAATTTACACCATCGGTCCGTGCAATCAAGGCCGTTGAGTAAGCGTAGCTCCTAACCGTTGGATGGAAAAATGAAGATAATTTTGTTATTGTTAAATGATATATTGTGGTTTTAATCATGATATTATCTTTTAATAATATATCAATTTATCTAAACTAAATATGATCGATATCATGGTGTTTGTTTGGAAATGGGTTTCTCTGCATGGGATAATATTAAATGAGAATGGTTATATAATAATCATTTGTCAGAAGAAGAATTGCCATTCATTTGCAATTCTTCAGTGGGACATGCATACACGTGGAAGGCAAACAATGTGATCAAGGTAGTTTTTTGGTCTCCTTTATTGCCAAGTCTAAGAGATAATGATGGCATCTCAAAGATAGGTTGTTGCTTATCTTGAGAAATCTTTGATTGAGACTCTAACTGACCAGTTTGAATTGAAATCAAATCCTGCATTAGTGTGAAGTTGCGCCACACATTTGTTTCTATAAATACAAGGCTACAAACAACGGGAAGAAGACCTCAAATTCAACACACAACTGCCTTGCGCAAACTCTCTAAACAACTTTGAGATTTTTTATTTTCTCTTTTCGCTGACACATCTTTCGTTGGCATCAACAACACTGTGAAAGCAACCAGTGATATCTTCAGTCGGCATAGATAGCTATGTCGTCATAAAATCAGCCGATCTCGCAGCATCTTCCGTTGGCATCAACAACACTGCGGCGAGAATGGTTGGTTACCTATCCAAGTCTCGGTCGAGAAGGATTTTCGAATCCTTATTGATCGAGGTCATCTCATTAGCCTTCTCGGCGAAGTGAGGTGTTACAGCTTACTGAGCTCGGCGCATTGCACGCCGAGTTATTTTATGATTGGATACTCTTAAGTGGGATTTAGAGTTCGGCATTTAGACGGCCGAACCACATTCACTATTAAGACTTATATCCGCTTTGAGTATTTGTGCCTTTACACTTTAGTGTCGATTCGGCGTGAGTTTACTCTGACGAATACCATCACTGTGACCGAATCCGACGACGACGATTCGTGAACTTCGTAAGAATAGTAGCCTTGTCTTCAGGTTCGAGAACCCAAGAGGTCGAGACGTGTTCCTTCCTCAACCGCAATCGCAAGACGCAGAAGTCAGCCATGCACCAAACGTAACATCAATAAATTTTACTCCTCTGCCGACGAGTTGGCAAGCCCCGCATTCACCGAAAGATGTAGTTAGCTCGTAGATTACTCGGCCTGCGCGCCACGTAGGCTTGGTAGTTTGTAAGGTCAACACCTGTTTAAGAAATAGTTACAGTATAAGTGTTCATAAAACTGAATAATAAAGTTTTTCTTTATTTTTTATCATGTAATATTATTACTTAGTTTATTCTCAAAAAATTGAAAGAATAGTCAAATAAACAAGTAATAAAATAAAAATAAAAATAAAAATAAAAAATAAAATATTTATGGAGTGAGGTGAAAGGAGAGAGAAGAGTGGGGAGAGGTGAAAAAAAAGTTGATGTGGATAACGGTTGAGTGAGAAAGTGTGTGTATGTGTGTGATGTAATGCGTAGTCCCGCGCGTCACTATTTGTTGATTTTTTATTTTTTATTTTTTGTTATTATGTAAAACTTTTTGTCCTTTTCATTAAAATTTGAATCCTTTTTATTAAAGTTTAAGCCATTTTTATTAAATAAAGTTAGTAGATAGTTTTTGGTTAATTAAAAGTTTTGAGAAACCCTTTTCATTAAAGCTCCCTAGATTTATAGAGAGATTATATCTATTTTGAATGCAGAAGATTTGATCTAAAATTTGAATGAGGATCCTCTCTGGATCCACTTTGTAAGGATCCTAGAAATTAATTAATCTTAGTCATGCATCGTACATCGTGTGACTAGCTTTCTTTAGGTATTGTTTGTGTTCAGTTTTAAATAAAAAATTCAAAATTATTTACGGCAACAAGATGACTGATGAACAAATATGATGAACTGATTAATCACTATGAAAGTTTAGATAACTGAATATGTCTCATCATTAATGGCTTATCTTGCACGTCTTTTATTTCCAATCCATCTCGATCCAAAATTCTTTTAGACTTCACATTTTTTGTCCACATTCTCATGATGTATTGGCTAGACAAATCTACAATATGAATACTTTTGAGAAAAAATATAAATATGCGTGTATGGAATTCCTTTGAATTCAAATTTTTGACAGGTGCACTTTGCAAAACTAGAAACTTTTTCATAAACAATATGTTGCAATTACGAGCTTTCTACATCAACACGTATAACAACTTAAAATAATTGTTTGATTGTGATGATTAACCCCTACAAGGGAGCAAAGTTCACACTATACTTACTTGTGTTGTAAGTCGTATAAAAAACAATTACATCACCAAAAAAGAAGTACGCATTTGTTGCAGTGGAATTGACCCAAAAACGACAACTCAACCTATTTTCCTCACCTTAATCAACTTCAAAATAAAAAGATAGGTTCTTTTCCTTTTTTGAATCAAAATATTTAAGAAGAATTTCAACATCATGTCCCTTGATTTCTTTCTGCAAATCTCTTTCTACGTTTCTCAAATCTTTATCAATACATCCAACATTTGCAATTCCACATGCTCATTTTCCATTATTTTGAATTGTTGACTTGTAGGTACATTTGCACTACTTAGTGTTTCCATGTAAAGCTTCTTTACTTTCGAAACTTTTCAGTGTGAAGGTAGTAGGTATGCCTCTGTAGGTGTTGAAAGTACATGATTATGACACTCTTTAAAATTACAAATAGACCACTTCATCCCAGACTTGTCTTGACAAATGCTTAACTTTGCCTTACAACCCACACATGTTGATCCAAGATTCCTTTCTTCCTTGGTTGATGTATTCTTCTTTATTTTCTGATAAGTCTCATCTAGTTCGCCTTCCTTTAAATAAACAAATTGTTTCCAGGGGATTTCATTCGTTCATTTTTTCTTCTTACTTGAACCCATATGACACTAAATCTAACTTCTCGAGCATATTGATTGTAAAAATCATATGCTTCCGTTATTGATCCAAATTCTTTGCCAACTATGGGATTATGTTCATCTACAACTTGTTTGAGGTAAGGTCCCTTGGGAAGATTATTCTTCCATCATAAAGCAATATGCAATTAAAATTAAAAGTGAAGCAAAAAAGAA